TAATTTGACTTTCTAATTAAGCCCACTAAATCGACCACTTTTAAAAAAAAATTACTTAGCTAACTAATGGCTCTCTCATAATTAATTTGATTCTGTCAAAATCGACCACTTATAAAAAAATTACTTAGCCCACTCTATATATAAGAGATGATTTTAGGAGATAATAACACCCAACGAAATTACTTCTTCAAAAGTCAACGCCAAAAAACATTTATATCAAATTGATTTTGTTAAAAATGGTTTTGGCAGATGAGTATGATATTCAAAATCAAACTAATCTTACATATACACGGAAATTTTTATCAAAAGTAAAAAAACTATTTTTTTCATATCATTAAATGCCTTTCTTTATATATTTTTTTGTAGTTTTGGAGATTTTTAAATGTATTAACATCATTGTAGGGATCAACAACCAAAACAACTTTTAAAAGGATAATATTCAAATCTAATGATGTAGAATGGTGCAACCAAATTCGCTCTATCAATTATCTCTTCATATACATTAAGAGACAAGATTATGAATATAAAAGACAAGATTATGTTCATGTATTAGTTCAAAAGGAAGATAAGAATGACGACTTCATTGATGAAATTAAGACATTATTATCAAAAACTTGATCTCACGGAAAAGAAGATTAATCACACATGCTTTTTTCAATATTTGATTTTAAATTATGTATCCCTCTTGTGTTGGTAAACTTCGTTGGTTTATTTAGTCCCTGCAACTTTTATAAAATAATGTTTTTTTAGCTTTACATTATCAATAATGAATTTTATATTATTTTTTGCAAATTCTTATGTTTAAATCAATTATACCATAAAAGAATTAATCGGATAAATTTATTTATCTCCAAAAAAAATCGGCTCAACAAAATACAGGTTAATTAAAATTAAATTACCAATAATCTCTTTTTGTCTTTTGTGAAATCTAAAGCTTTTTCCTTTTACAAAAGTAATAAGATTTTACTAAAAAAAAAATTATTGCATAACAAAATCTTTTAATATATTTGTATACATATAACAAAGTCATGATATGTTACGATCCGGAAAGATTACAAAAATTTGAAGAATATTAACACAAGCAAAACATCATTCATTAACAATAATTACAATTTCACATGACAGTTTAGAAAATATTGCTTTATACATATATATCTTAACTACTTCGGATGCTTGCTTGATCGATTTCCAAAATATCAATAATTAACTATAACTAAATTTCCGAAATATATGTATCATCAATTCTAAATTATTAAGTATGGAAATATTTAATTCAAAATTTAAAAGATAAATAATTTTAATAAATTTTCCACAACACCAATGTTTGGAAATATAAGCAAATAATGAAGAAATGTGTCATATCCGTATTTTTAAAATATCACTACCAAATATACAGATAGTTCTTTTTGGGAAGTGATTATGAGAAAATGTTTATGTGTCATCTCCACAATCAATTTCACCAAAATAATTCTGACATGGCTTGAAAAAAAGCTGACATGACAATTTTGAATCAATAACAAAATCTCTTACAAGTAAATTTTACAAACAATTTCCATAAATAAATCAAAATAGTTTTTACTCAACATTTTTTTTCTTCAGATTTAAATAGTTTAGAAGTTTCTTATTGTAATAATAAAATTTTAGAGCAACTTTTATAGAAGATACATTATTTTTGAAATTAATAATAAAGATTTCCCAAATTTATTTGTATTCTAAATTCTAACTGATATATCCAGACAAGTCAAATTAAAAATAATTTATACTTATAATACAATTAAAATAAATATGAGTTGTACATATTTATCTAACAAATAAGTAATTTTTAAACTATTTTCTGAATAATTTCTATTTCTATAGTACACTTCATATTTGATATATAAAGTTATAAGCAAATAACAAAATGTCAATGTGAATATTTTACCATTTACAAAAAATGTTTTATCTAAATATCCAAATTCAATATTGATCTAAGACCTATTCGTATAAACATTATTTTATTAG